TGGGAATTGGGACTACGACTTACGGCGTTCTATCGTTTTTTTCTTTTTGCAGCGGGAGTTGGCGTTCAATCAGCCATTTGGGCATAGACTTTTCAATTCTCCTTGACTCCTTTGCTGACTTTTCAATTTGGTGTTCCAACTTTTAAAATTTTTAAATTGACCCCCATTTTTTTAAATGTTGGATGGTGTCAATTTATAATTTATGAAAGATTATCTATACCTATATAGAGAATTTTTATTTTTCAGTGGTGTCAATTGTAAATTTTAATTTTTTTTATATACCTACATATGAAAAAAAAGAATTCAGTGGTGTCAATTGGTGTCAATTGACACCAATGGCCAAAGGGTGGCTCCGCCACTGGATATAGACAGAATAATCATTTTAATTTGATATAGAAAAAGTGATTGTCAAAAAAGTTGAAAAGGATGAGGGAGATAAAAATAATATGTTGACAATGTCCACACATGAATTTGACCGGGGATTCAAAGAGCAAACATGAATGAAAAGTGAGTTATAAGTGATATAAAAAATGAAAAAAAATATTGACATATGTACGTCCTACACATAAAAATTGTGATACAAAAAATTAGACCTGCATATAAGGGTGTGTAAGAGGATTATACATCCCATTGAAGATACTCTTAGACTAGTGGTAAGGTACCTGGAGTTCAGAATAATAAAACTAGACATTTTGGATTCCTAACTTGTTGCATTGGGGATAAAATTTGGGGACCAAAATTGAGAAGTGGGAGTTGAGAGTTAAATATACAGGGACGATAGAAGAAAAAAGGCCACATTGGAAATAATATTTTTAAATTGTTATAACTTTTCTATTTGTGCTTCAATTTTTACAAAAACTATATCAAAATTCATAATGTTTTACTAAATTTTTCAAATGACACCAAAGACTCACTATTTTTTGGCATAGGAATTTTGCATTAACCCATCATTGAACTAGTACAAATATTACTATAGTGGACATAAAACCTTATTGAATATGTAAATAGTGTATAACATTTGAATTATTAACACACAAACACAATACTTATTCACAATTGGCGTGGACGGCATGAATGAGTGTCGATTGTCGAATGTTTTGTAAGGAAATGCTTTCATAGCGCGTGCACCATAATCGTTGCTTTCGTATTTTCCCAAATACAAAATCGTTCAGCAATGAAGACATTGTGCATAAAACATGTCGTTTGATAGCATAGTGAATTAACATTGCTTCCATAATAAAGTTTACTAATAAAATCAAACTTTTTCCAGATGCAACACTTTGAACGGTAAATATGTGACTGTGTATTTCATCGCAGAATAATATACAACACTTTGTACCATATATGCCCCTATGTAAGAATATACTACTATTAAATATAAAAGTAAAGATGAAGAGTGGAAGAATAGAGGAAAGTAGGGAGAATGACATATTGTAGAATAAAGGTTTAGGTTTTTTTTAAATGAGCGAGTGTTTATGAGAAATACTTTTTTTATCCGTTATAGTCATTAAAAAAATAGGCTCTTCCAACCCCCAACCCCTCAACTAGCCATTTTTAGCCGTTAGAGCCTCCTCCAACATTCATAACAATTCCTCCAACGTTTAATCAGGAAAAAAATTTGACCGTTGGGACTAGATCGGGCCCAAGACCAGCCAGTCCTCCCTAGGGCCGTCTTTAGAAGTTTTGGTGCCCCAGACGAAAAACGTTTTTTTCAAAGAAAAGAAAATAGATTTATTTTCTCGTATCTATTAATAAAATCCGTAAAAGATTACATAACTTGGTTTTTTTAGTTTTCTCGCGGAAACCATTTGCAATGATGACTTCAGACAAATCATGAGAACTATGTTAATTAATGTACTTGTCTCCTAGGTTGTTTCCTTTATTAATAAATAATAAAAGTTGTTTTTTTCTTTTTATGCCAGGAACCTATTCATTTTTTTAACTGCTGACCAAGTATAATATGTGTGTGTGTGTGTGAGAAAAAAATAAAAATATATATATGAGAAATCTTCCGATCTAGATGGACTGACCGGAACCACCGTCCGGTCGCCTCCATTTGAGTTTCTTTCGGGTAGCATATTTTGATAAACTTTGTGGATATGTTTTTCATGAAGTTTAGATTATATCCATGAAAATTTACCTTAAAGCACAATCGGAAAGTCAGTTAAATAAATTATTAAAAAAATGTGCCAAAAAATTTACATAAAACACAATGTTTTTCAATAATTTATTTCATTGACTTCCCAATTGAATTTTAAGGCAAAATTTTATGAGCATAATATTAAGTTCATGAGGAACATGCTAACAAAATTTCATCCAAAAAATCCACCCAAAAGCATATCAAACGGAGGCGATCGTACAATTGTTCCGACGTTCTTTATTTGACCTGTTTTTCCTCCATTTGCAGTGAGATCTTTTAGGAGTTTGGTGTTTGAAAAATGACCATAGAGTATATACAAGGAAGGTGATGAAAATCTCACAGATTTTGTTTTCTCGTGGAAACCATTTGGAATGATGACTTCAGACAAATCATGAGAACTATGTTAATTAATGTACTTGTCTCCTAGGTTGTTTCCTTTATTAATAAATAATAAAAGTTGTTTTTTCTTTTTATGCGAGGAACCTATTCATTTTTTTTTACGGCTGACCAAGTATAATATATGTGTGTGTGAGAAAAAAAAATAAAAATATATATATGAGAAATCTTCCGATCTAGATGGACTGACCGGAACCACCGTCTGGTCGCCACCATTTGAGTTTCTTTTGGGTAGCACATTTTGATAAACTTTGTGGATATGTTTTTCATGAAGTTTAGATTATATCCATGAAATTTTACCTTAAAACACAATCGGAAAGTCAGTTAAATAAATTATTAAAAAAATGTGCCAAAAAATTTACATGAAACACAATGTTTTTCAATAATTCATTTCATTGACTTCCCAATTGAATTTTAAGGTGAAATTTTAAGAGCATAATATTAAGTTCATGAGGAACATGCTAACAAAATTTCATCCAAAAAATCCACCCAAAAGCATATCAAACAGAGGCGATCGTACAATTGTTCCGATCAACCCTATTACTCCCTCCGTCCCAATTTGTTTTGTAAAGTCAATTTTTTTTGTCAACCAATAATAAAAGTCAATCTTTCCTATGGATAATTAACTCAATTTTTAATAATTAATATTTACATATTCATAAACTACATTAAAATCTCTTCAAAGTTGTAAAGTCCAAATTAGAATATAATTAAAAATTGACATTCTAATGAAGTGAAAAAATGAAACTGTTTGACCAAGAAAAAGTCATATTTGCAAATCAATTTGGGATGAAGGTAATATAATAGAAGCTTTATTTAAAAAAAATGGTGCCCCATCTAAAATTGGTGCCCTAGGCAAATGCCTAGGTGCCCCGGCTCTGAGTCCTGGTCCCTACTAACTACACCCTGGGACGAGGAAAACCGGTCTCAGGCCGGTCCTACACAATACCGGGCCCCGACTATCTATTTTTTGTAATAAAAAATCTGACCTTGCCGTAGATAACTTCAATATTTCATCATTGTTTTTTTGTTATACACACCCCTTAAAAAGCATCAATCTGATTTATTTTATTGATCACATTATTCCAACTATTTGCTAGTTTAACTGAAGTCATCATATCCAAATTCGTCCAGAAACTTTTCTAAACAATCTTTTTTTGTAAAGGATGGAGCAACAATCAAGCGGGTCCTGTGGGGATGGTAAGTAAACAAAAGGAAATATATGTTCGTATAACAGTTTATTAAAATGACATAGAACACTATAACATTAGTAATCTACTTAAAATTCAACTAATTATCCAAACAAACTTGTAAAGATTGTTAAGAAAGTGAGCACCTTATGTTCTGATTTTTCTTGAGTGAAGATAGAAATTTAGGTGAGATGTAGCTTTTAAAGGGAGCGCGGACGAAATGAAGTAATTATATGAACTGTATTTAAAATTGAAGAAAACCCTTAATTGCATGGATTACCTTTACTCACCTTTCCAAGTTAAAATGACACTCCATTAAATATATATTATAGTTGCATGTAAATCCTTTATTATCATCTATTCATTGTACACAGAGAGATTATAGAGAGCTAGTTATGATTTTAGCTAGTCTTATTCTTCTTCTTCCAATAGGTGTTGATTCAACCATTCGCCATTACACTAAGCTTTTATATGTTGGTTTGTATTATTGTGTATGTATTTATTTATATTTACTCATTGCCTATGTTGCACGGAAACGCGAAAATCATAAGGAAACGGGAAACGAGAAATGTCAACTTTTGCTCAAAAAAGGCTTATTTGGAGAGTTTCCAAAGAGTTTCCGAGAGTTTCCAAAACCGGAAACGTACCATTTCCCGGAAACGTACCATTTCCCGAGAGTTTCCGTGCTACCTAGCTCACTGCAGATTTATATCATAAAAGATGTCACTATTATGGTGAATTGATTTGAAGGTGGTAATCAAGAACACAACAATATTGTGCGCGAGGAAACCTATCGTGGTAGTGAACGGGATGTTCCCGGGGCCCACTCTCTATGCGAGAGAAGATGATACGGTGCTTGTGATGGTAGCTAACAGCGTCCAAGAAAATGTTTCAATTCGTTGGTATGCATAGTATAAAACACTTTATGCATCATATGAATTCAAGAAGAGTAATGCATATATGCTTCCCATAGTATGCAGTACACACCACTCACGAAATTATTATTGCAATCACACTTCATTCTATTACTCATTTATTCATAGAAGGGGGAAATATAATTTCACAAAGAGGTTCCTTCTTCACATTTTTGTTCACGAAGTGGATGAATTTTAATTGGAACTATTCAGGCATGGAGTGAAGCAGCTTCGGAGCGGGTGGTCGGATGAACCAGCATATATAACTCAGTGCCCTATACAGAAAGGCCAAACCTTTGTTTACAACTTCACACTTACAGGCCAGAGGGGTACTCTTCTTTGGCATGCACACATCAATGGGCAAAGGTCAACAGTCTATGGGGTGTTCCTTAATCCTTACCCATTCCCTAAGCCAGATCAGGAGAAAATCATATTATTAGGTAAGTGCTAGGCTTAGCCTGTTTAGACACTAAGCACAATCTCAGTCCCACTTTTAGGGCCTAAATCCACTCTTTCATAGAATTGCTGAAAGGTTCACTTTTAGTCCAATGAGTAGCATTAGGTCATTGCCATTCTTTATTAGCGACTTTCATTTTTTCACTTCTGATGACCGACTATGGATATGGTCACTTTTGGTCATCAGGGATACTGACTAAGCCACTATTTTTTCTCGTCTAGCGCCTTAAATTTTTTGTAAGACTCTGATTGCAACCATTGCAGGAGTGCTAATATGTTTTAGATTTGATCATTCCTATGGATGGGCAGGAGAGTGGTGGAAGTCAGATGTTGAAGATATGATCAATCAGGCAATGCAATTGGGAGTGCCTCCAAAAGTATCAGATGCCACACTATTAATGGCCTTCCTGGACCAACTCCTCTTTGTCCTTCAAAGGGTACTAAGACCAACTCTTCTTATTCTTCTTGACTGGATGGCAGAAGGGACTTAGGCCATGTTTGATAGTGAATATGGCATGTTATACTTATCAAAAGAACAAACAGATTAAATAAATTTTGATTTACTTATTTAGCAGACATAGATGTTACCTAACAGTTTTCCTTAAAAAAAAATAATAATATTGCAGACATAGATGTTACCTAACAGTTTTCTTTAAAAAAAACTGTCTCTTCATTCAAAGTAACTCTTACAAACAGGCCCTTAAGCTGGAGTCTGTTCCTGCAATGATCAGGAACAACCCCTTGGGAGAGGTTCTACAACTTCAAACATGTGGCTTAGTCCTACAAGCCCAATCCCACTTGAAATTTAATATTACAAAAAGTTAACGTTACCTGAAAAAATAATTACTTTGAATATTTATATTAATGATTTACTTGTCTAACCCGCCAAGAATGTAAATTTAAGTGAATCCTAGTTCCACTTGCCATTAGAGAAAGGCTTTTACAATGTAAACAATATATAGTTATATACACAACAAAGAGAAAAAAAATACACAACAAAGAGAAAATATGAAAAGAAAAAGGATCTCAAACTAAACCATCCAAATTAGAAGACTATCAATCATCATTTACCCCAGTGCCGCAAAGGCTCCCACCTATGGTGGGGTAAGGGGGGGTCGGATGTACGCAGTCTTACCCCTGTACTAAAGCACAAAGAGACTGTTTCCGGACGACCCATAATGAAAATCGCGTCCAAAACCTACTTGTTACGCATTGCGAATGCAGCGGTAAACGAGGAGCTGTTTTTCAAGATTACGGGCCATGAATTTACCGTGGTTGAGGTTGATGCCACTTATGTTAAACCCTTCAAGACAAATACGGTTTTCACGGGTTCCGGCCAGACCACAAGTACATTTGTAACTTCACATCACAAATCCGGCTAATATCTCATTGCCATTTCTCCTTTTAGGGAACTATAGTTCCCTCTGATAATCAAACTGCAACGGGTACACCGATAAACTGTGCTACTTTTAATATGGCTTCTTGCAACGTCATAAATAGTATCCTATTCAACGAAGGTTACATTTGGGTTTACACAAAAAAAGGAGGTGGGTTTATTATTCCTCTATCTTCACGAAAACAACCTCTTTACTCATAGAGGAGTAACTAGTAAAATAGGGTCTGCCGTTATCTCATCCTCTCTAGACAATACCTTTTTAGAAAGAGATTTACTGGATTTGTTTCTATGTAAGATTTGCAATAGTGTTTATAAATTATGAATAAGGGTCATTCCAGTCCCATTGTAGCCTGGTTTTGGTTCCTATTCTAGAAAGGTTTGCAATAGTGTTTATAAATTACTGGATTTACTGGTTCCTATTCTACGAAGGTTACATTTTGGTTCCTATTCTACGAAGGTAACAACCTCTAGTTTTTGTAGAAGTGTAGTGGACCCTAAAGAATCTCCCAGTATGAGAAATTGCTCGAGTTCCTTCATACAACATGGGGACTAAAGATGGCATTTTTGGTGGAAAATGGTGAGGACCATAAAGAATCGATCCTTCCTCCTCCAAGTGACCTCCCTAAATGCTGATGACATAAAGCAAAGCAGGAGTCAACCAGGCCTAATGTTGTTGGACCTAGAGCCCGCACAGTCCCGGCCCGGACCTGGCCCAATCCCGGCCCGGACCCTGCCCAGTCCACCCATATTTCCGGATGACCCATGGTGAAGATTGCGTCAAAAATTGCATAGAGTGACTGTTGATTGGTTATTATTGTTTGAACAAAAATGTAATGTAATTATACAGAGTACATCTTTAGTGTAAGTTTACTTTACACGCATTTCATTACATCTTACCAAAATACACCTAAAAGCAGCAACACAAAAAAGAAGAAAAATGCCAACTAAAAAGAATTACTCCATATTGTACAAGAAAGGTTTCACTCAATGATATGGTAGAGTATTTGTTTGCGGCATATAACAAAAAAAAACTAAATCCATAGAAAACAGAGGAGTTTATTACAGCGGAAGAAATTTGGAAACAACAAAAGGTGTAAAAAGGAAAGTACAAATCCCTAACCAGCAAGCTCCATGTTGTTTGTCTCCAAACAGATGACCGTTTCTGGAGAATCCGTCCTCCGTCCAGCAAGTGAGTAATACGCGAGTATATGGGCAGGATGGTCAGCGGACACGGTCTCACCATCCTCACCCACTGAGATGACCCGTCTTGGAGGAATGACCTCAATGTTCCAAAAAGGGCGGGCCATGAGCAACAGATCCTGCCCGATTGAAGACTGCCTGAACCCTTGCACCCACAAATACCGCAGAGATCTCATCCTCAATGAAGCCATAGCAAGTGCCTGTTCGCTAAAGAAACAGCCCCTCACTTCAAGCTTCTGCAGGCTCGGGCACCCATTTGAGAACTGTAGAAGTCCATCATCTGATTCCCCAACATACCCAAGAAGCATCCACCTCACATTCGGGCTATACTGGCCCACATATTTCAATCCTTCATCAGTTAGCCCACCTGACCGGAGATACAAGGCGAACCTTATAAGCAAACGGCAACCCCTTAACAAAGAGCGCACCCCATTATCTAGAGGGAGGTCCGTTATCCTTTCTTCGCGATCAAGAAGAACCAAACGGAAATCAGAGAGTTGTTTCATGTGGTTGCCAATGTAATCAAGGGCTTGGTTTGTGATGTCAGATACATAAACCGCGAAATATTGGAGTTCATGACATCCTTGCGATAAGGCAATGAGTCCTCTCTGTGTGACAGACCCCTCTTCATCCTCCATTCCTTGTTCGTCAGCTCCTCTCTCAATCCTCAGCCTCTTCAACTTCTTGCAAAAGCGGGAAAGAACTTCTAATCCTCGGTCTCCTATTACATTTCTTGCCTGTTCATAAAGTTTTTGTGCTTTATAAGTCATTTACAAAAAAGGGAGGAGGGACCAAGCAGTTCCTGTGATCGTAAATTTGTAACATACCCTAAGACTTAAGAAGGAAATCACAAATAGTATACACTTCCTTAAAAACATAAAGAAGGCCATGTACATGGACAGTTTGGGACTATAAAATTCAATTCAAGTTAAGGAAAAAATATAACTATATAAGCATTTCAAAAGTATTTTGATTAAGTCTAACATACCCTAAGACTTTAGAAGGAAATCACAAATAGTATACACTTCCTTAAAAACATAAAGAAGGCCATGTACATGGACAGTTTGGGACTATAAAATTCAATTCAAGTTAAGGAAAAAATATAACTATATAAGCATTTCAAAAGTATTTTGATTAAGTCAAGCATACCCTTTATAGAAAAAAAATCAGAGAGCAGACTTCGATAGAGAACAGCTGTCGTGTAACCCCGCCCTTCTCAAATAACTATCCATTAAGGGAACAATATACCCCCCTTGTTGATTTGTAAGTGTTAAAGGTAGCAACAATTGTGAAATTAAAACATTATCAGGTCGCATTCATCATAAACAAGAGGATAGACAAACACGCATAAAATAACCAAGTTGCATTTAATAGACACAAAGCTGAGATTCAAACTAACCTCTAAAATTTCCAAATTCACACACTTTTCCAGTAAGGTGCAGTGACCTTGAGTGTCAAGTAGTGCATATAGAAGATCCAACTTTCTAAGACGGGAACAGATAGGGAAGAGAATTGGCATTTCATTTATTCCCAAATATGTCAGTCCGAGAGAACACAGCCTGGGAGGAAACACGATATCAGCATACTGCATGTTTTCACCAATGGGGTCAGGTACGCTGAAAGAACCGCCTGCAAATTCTTCTAATGCAGTTGCTGCCCGAAAGAAGCCAAAAAGGGAAGACATGTCAGATTCACATATTTTCATTGACACAAGGTGTGGACAATTTCTGGCTATCAATTCAATGTCTTCGGGTTTGACACTCAAAAGCTCTGTCATGTAAAAGTTGAGATTTTCAAGAACTTTGTTGTTCACCGCAAGCTCATGAAGCCATTCCCCATCTTTCTCAGCTATTGTGCTTTCTTCTAGAACAAATGTGCTTAAGTTCCTTTGAGAAAAGGTGAGCAAGAAAATACACATATAAGTCATTTTAGATTTTATTTTTAACTAAGACGAGTTCCCTGATTTCAACATCAAAAGGAAATAAAAGGAAAATACATATGCAACAATCAGTAATATAAAGAATAATCAGTAAATGTTGCTAATTACAAGAGTTAATGAGAAGCCCATACATTTATGGAAAATGCTATTAGTCAATCACTATATTTACTTTTTCTAAAAGTGACACAAAATAGATATGCTTTTTGTAAGATTTTTCATAAGTGTTTTTGTACTTATAGCAAGACTCAGATTAAATAGCTGAATATTCCGTTTTCACAAAGAGACTAACTCAACCAAACCCAACAACCCACATAACCTAAAGAGCCTTTTTAGAATATACAGATCAAGAAATTTAACCTAAAGAGCGAAGGTGTTAAAGTACCAAGAGAAAAGTCAAAGGAAAAAAATTACAACCAATAATCACTGATCCACTAATTATGCTAATTGCAGACAATTGTCACCCTTTGTGAAGGAAACCAACCCACGCACCAACACCGCATTTTCAGCATTTAAAGAACAAAAAATTGCACTACAGCACCAAGAGAAAATTGAAAGGTAAGTAAAACATCTAAAGCAATCAGCATCACAACTAGTAATGACTTCACATAGAGAAAATAATTATTAATCACTAATCCAGCGATTTTTTCTAATTATAAAAATTCATGGAAACCCTGTGCAATTTTACCAAAAACTAGAATAAAAAACTAAACCCCATCCCGACCCCCCACCTCCACCCCAAAGTCCCAAACAAACAGTCTTAAAAGCATTTACCCAAAAAGAACATACATTAAAGAACTAGGAAACTAAAGGCAAGTGCTAGAGATAACCACTTTCAATAAAATTGAAGACCCGTGAAAAGAAAACATCAATTGGCAAAGTTATATCCCACAAAATAAAACTCAACAACAACAACATTATCCCAGTGCCGCAAAGGCTCCCACCTACGATGGAGTAGGGAGGGGTCAGATGTACGCAGCCTTATCCCTATACTAAAGCACAAAGAGACCGTTTATGGATGACCCGTGAAGAAAAAGAACATACATTTAAGAACTAGAAAACTAAAGGCCTATTATGATGAAGTCCACAAAATAAAACTCAAAGAAGAAAAAATTAAAAGAAAAAACATATGCAACAATCAGTATTATAATGAGTTAATCACTAATCCAGTAAATGCTGCTAATTATAGCAATTTATGAAAAGCCTATTCAAATACCCATCTGGCAAAGAAAGTAAGACACTAACCCCACTCCACCCAAAGAGCTTGAAGAGAATTTTCATAGCGGTAGTTTACGGTCGTTACACAAAAAATCCAAAACTGAAAGAAGAGAAAATATCATTTGGCCAAATTAAAGCCACACAGTAGAATTCAAAGAAGATGAAACTAGGGAAAAAACCTTGGAAACAATTATATTTTGCTAATTGTACTCATTTATTGCAAGCCTAGGCAATTAGTTTAATATCCACCTTTAGTAGCAATGAAACTAACCCCACCCCCACCCCCTAACCCACCCAAACAGCCTAAAAAGAATTGTAAAGAAGAAGATTTGATATAGGGCCAAGAAACCAATGACCCATACTTAAATAATGGCAATTAAAAGGATAAAACATCTTAAGACATCATTATTATTATAATCAGAAATCCAGTAAGTTTTGCTAATTATAGAAATATATGGAAAGCCCAGACAATTAGATCAATAATGACCCTCGGACAAAGAAACTAATCCCACCCAAACCAAGAAGACTTTTTAGCATTTACAAAACAAGAGCTTACACTAAAGAACCAGGAAACTAAAGACCCGTACTAAAGATAATTAGAATTCAACAAGAAAGATGATAGAAATAAACTTTTAAAACAATTACTATCACTAATCTCACTAATGACCTAATCCAGTAAACTCTGCTAATTATAGCAATTTATGAAAATCCTAGACAATTATCCCCACCTTGGCAAAGAAACTAACCACTCCCACCCCACCAAAACAGACTTAAAAGAATTTCACACAACAAGAAATGGTACTAAAGAACCAAGAAACTAGACAAGCATACTATAGAAATTTGCAGAACAACAAATTTCACTGAAGGGAACAAAAACTTCAATCTTTCTTTCTTTTACCTGCAGGATTGGCAAATCTTCAGGAGACCATCTGTGGAGAACCCAGAGCACTTGTCGAGCTTGAGAGATTGAAGAAGCAAACCGCGCGAGCGAGCCAGACTATCTAGATCGGAATCAGTGACAATCATTCTGCGCAAGTGGAGAGCCTTCAATTGTTTAAAGGACTTGGCTATTTCTTCTACCCATGGAGCGGCGTGACCGCCCCAGTCTTCCGGTATAAGGTTGAACATGGCGGCGCGTGGCTTTCCTTTGAGCTTGAGCGACTCCAAGTGGGGGAAACGGCCGGATAGACGACTCGGCGTGGCGGTGTAGCAGAAAGCCATGGTTACGTGCTTGCGCGTTATGGCGTCGATCTCGTACCACCTCTTGCACACAAGGGACACCGACCCGCGGTCTCTCGAGTCGTGAATGTAAGGTATCACTCGATCCCACACCGCGTCGTAGACGGCTGCCATTCTTTTGTCCTCCATGTTCAGAAAACAGAACAGGAAAATGAAGGGAAATCAAGAAACAAAAGTACAGATTTTCAGGGTCACCAAAAAGAAAGTTCAGATTCAGGAGAGAGATCGGTCGTAGAAAGCGTGAAGATTGAAGAGTGTCGCCTGCGGCGGCGAAGAAGAGTGAAACAGCAGACAAACTATTGGCTATACCGCTATACGGATGAAGTTGGAAGTTTTGAGAGCTAAAAATGAGAGATCTTGGATGAGGGACACGTGGCGATCCGGGATTTCTTACGTTTTGGAAAATTTTCACAGTCGGAGTAAAATTTTCATTTTTCACTGATTTACTATTGGCTCCGCCGCCTTTTAGCCTTTTTAGTTATTCTTTAATTTGAAGTTTACTGAATTACTGTCTTTGTTAGACATACTTATTAAGTTATTATTACCGTGAAAGCTAAGTTTTTTCACCCTTCATATTCTCCCACGCAATAATGCAGGTAATCATTAGCATGTTGAAAATTGAAATGAGTAGTTCTTAAAAAATTTGAATGTGTTTGGTAGGCTGATTTTTCTGAAATTTATGAAATTGTGGCTGAAGTGGTTACATTGATTTAAGAAAAAAAATATTTTAAAAATATATTTTATTAATAAAATAAAGAAAAATTATATATAAAAATGGCTAAAATGGTCATCTACAATTTCTTCCGCCAATACAGTCAGAAAAGTAACTCAACCCGAAAGCCCCACGCTCCAACTCAAAAAGGTATACAAAAGTTGTAAATTACGATGACTCAATTTATCCAACTCAAGTTGTAAATTACGATGACTTTCTACTCGAGTTCATTATAACTTTGGCATGGTGGGTTTTATTAGTTTTTAGAAAAGGTTGTATTGTATCTATGAGGAGCTCACTCAGAACGAGCACAAAAAATGTACTGTGACACAATGATGTGTAAAAACGCCAACCCATTCTAATTGAAGGACGGACCAAAAGACAAGTAGGTAGTCTTTAGTACTCTCAAAACCCAAAAGTATGTCCCCACTCTAATTAGGGAAAAGCTTGAGAGAGAGAAGACTTATCTTCGGTTGAGGAAAATGAATTTAAAGATTTATTTTGTGAAGAATAAAAATGGTCCCAAGGTTTATGGTTGAATGCAAATTTTTGGTCATTTATGGGTCACCATGCAACTTCATTATTTCCCCATGTCTATCACCTCTCTGTATTACTGTATAGATCCACCTCAACTATTGCATAGATTTTGATCTCGCTTGGAAAATGGGTGGTCATCCAATATTTGATTTCTTTGACTACAATTAAGAATGTTATTGTTTATGTCGTCATATTCATTACCCCAGTGCCGCAAAAGCTCCCACCTACGGTGGGGTAAGGAAGGATCGGATGTACGCAACTTTACCCTTGTATTAAAGAATAGAGAGGCTGTTTCTGGATGACCCATGGTGAAAATCGTGTCAAAAATTGCATAGATTGACCGCTACTTCATAACAAAGAAGCGTAGATAATTTAGTGAGTCATTTTACTATATTCCATCATATTCCTAATCAAAAAAATAGTTAATATTTGGCTCCATTGCAAATGATGGAAAAAATGTTACTCATTAGGCAATTAAAACTATTGTTTAGTTAACAACTAAAATTAAAATGGTAGGTGGGAACTTTAACTTTATGAGTTTCGTTTGCACCCTTATAGAAGGTGGCAAGCTAACCTAGAAATCGGTCGATAAACTAATACTTCAAAGATTCTAATTAAGTGTTTCTAACAAGCTCACGTATCTAATTGTGTATTTCTTAGGTATGAGACTTAATTGAAGATGGAAAAATAATGGCAGAACTTGTTTGATTGTTTTCCTTATATCTATGATAGACATATACCATTGCGCACTTTGGGTCCTAAATTTTATTTGAGTTTTATATATGGTCGTGGGAATCAAGCCTCATTTCCGTCAAAAATCACATTGCTTGAGGTGAATATATGAGTCCAAGTTGGGTCCTTATTTTGAGAGTGTGGGAGGCTGGGAATGGTTCAAGTGGACCAATTCCTAGGTCTATGCTCCCCTTGTGGGAGGTCTTGAATTCAAAAAGTCATTAAAGAGGTAAATTTGGAAGGTTTTTCTCAAATGATGATCCTTTAGCCAAGGTCCAAGGAGCTAGCTCAAATGGTTGTGTAATCAGTGATTCATCTCCCTTCAAACAACACTATGGGACTTGGTTTCTTGCTAATAAAAACATGGTGCCCTGGTGGTATTATATTCGACCAATCAGTGGCAGTTCTGCGGAACTATGAATTATGATGGGAATCTAAAGACACACAATCAATTCGTTAAGAGTGGTTTCTTGTGCGCGTTAGTGAATAGATGGCCATGGAAACCTAGCTCTCATTATTCAAATGATTCGGATTTATTTCTCAGGGTTTGAGGTTAGTTTATTAAAGCCCGAAATTAATGTGACAAAGTCAATATTGCTTGGTGTTAAAAAAAGGTAAGAGTTAAATGAAGGTCCTTGGCGAAAACATGGAGAAATACACAAGCGAACCACCACTTATAAAAGAGTGAACGAAATTGTCAAAAGGATCAAAGATGACTTACTAAGGGAGTGTTTGTGATTACTTCTATTTTACGGAGTAAAAAAATAATTTTTAGAAGTGATTTTGGAGAAAGTGGATTATAGTAAAAGATGATATTGTTTGAGAAAAAAGTTCTTTTACAAAAGTTGTATAAAAGTTGGTAGTGTTTGGTAAAATAAGTGTTACTTGTGTAATAGAAAAGGTGAAAAGCGATTTAAAGCACTCTTCTATCTTCTTCTTGCTTTTAGCTTTTAAGTGTTTAATTTAAACACTTCTTGCTTTAAGTGTCACTTGAAAACACTCATTTCAGATTTTTAAAGCTAAAAGTTGACACGCACTTCTTTTAATTTTTTATAAACCCTCCCTAAGTCATTATTTTTAAACTTTTATAGATATAATGTATATTTAAATAAATAATACCGAGTACTACTTATGTGTGTATTATGGGCTCTTGGGGAGCAATGGACTCTGGGCGAATGTCCCCTTGCCCATGCTTCAGGACGGGCCCCGATAGGGAGCAGGGATGGATTTAAGGGGGGGGGGTGCCCCCTTGGACTTTCAAATTTTTCTACTATATATGTAGTATTTTCATAAAATTTTCATACTTTAATTAGATATATATTTTTTCGCCCCCCTTGACTTTTAGTTTTCAAAGTTAATACTTTCCTCCGTTCTTTAATTCTTGCAACAGTTTTACTTTCACATTTGCCAATGCACAACTTTGACCGTAGTTATATTTAGTTATATATTAGCAAACATTATAAAAAGTTAATATTTTGGAAATTCCCATTGATAGTAATTCAATAACATTTTATACGTAATAATTTGATTATGTATATATGTAGAAAATCGTGGTTAAAATAAGGTCTGTGAATAGTGCAAAAATTACAATGTTGCAAGAATTAAAGAACGGATGAAGTATATTGTCTTACATAGTGTAATACTTAATTGGATATTTAAAAGAAGTAAGATCTAAAATAAATTAGATAGTTTAAGACTTAGGGTACCTATTATATAAAAATTCCTAGGCTTTGTAATATTTGATTATCTTTATAGATAATTAGTTTTAAATTTTGTAAAAGAACAAATGATATTAAATATCAGACACACCAGTTAAACAGTTTTAAATCATGTGAAGTGAATCCAAAATATATATAAATTTTGCTGACATTAAATTATACAAGTCATTTACTTCTTACATTCTAAAAGCAATTTATTGCATAAATAATAAACTTTAACGTATTTTAGCATTAATACAAATATAATATGTACCATATATGAATTAAAAATACTATATATAATATTATTCTAAAGATAATAATCTCATACATACTATTGTAATATTAAAAAACTTCTCGTGACTCATGAACACCCTCCTTGGTAGACAAAAACTACAATTCAAAAACCATTTCTTTATTCCGATAAGATTCGTGTGGTTAAACAAGAAATAAGTTATTTAAAAGGCATCAATTGATGTTTAATTACCTTTCAAATTTTTTACCTTCAAATAATCTGACAAAATGTTATATATCCTTTTCTATTTTCAAATAAATTTCCTTTGATTTGCAATTTCTTATGCTTTAATGTATCAGTACTTTTTTCTAGAACATTCACGGTTACAAAATTAAAGCTATTTTTCATTCTCTAAACTTAAAATGTAATAGATTTAAAGAATTAATTCCACTTTTGGTCCTACGAGTTTTATGTCATTTTCACATTTAGTCCACGTCTTTCACTTTGTCCACTTTTGGTACTTAACTAATATTTCTTGACCATTTGATGTCCTTTTCCGGTGATTTTAACCACCGGAATAGTTGTCGGAAGGACCATATGTAGACGAAAACAAAATAGTCATGTATCAAAAGTAGCCAAAGTCAAAGATGTGGACCAATTGTGGAATTGGTGCAATACTCATAGGACCAAAAGTGGAATTTATTCTAGATTTAAATGCTATCGTGTATGTACTAATGATTTTTTTTTGAAAAAAAAATAGCCGCACAGCCCTACAAGGCTACAATAGTGAAAAAATTTCGTCTCGCTATACTAGCGAAAAAAATTTGCCCCGCTACATTAGCGAAAAAAATTTCTCCCCGCTGCACTAGCAATTTTGTTCTGCCCCCTACACTAACAAAAAAATTTCGCCCCCCTTGACTCGAAATCCTGGATCCGTTCCTGATAAGGAGTATCTCGCGTATGCATACAGGTAAGCCGTGGCGGAACCAGAGGGGGTGAGCCGGTGTCGGTGCCGGCGCCCTCCTTCCCGGGAAGAACTACGGTATATATATGTATAATTCCGCTGGCGCCCCTGTCGGGCTTTCCTCTCAAGTGGAAGTTTTCATCTTCTTTGGCGATGCTGTCGTGTCATAGGCTTATCAGCTGTTTTTTGTTTTAAACTTTCACTTATAAGTCACCGTTTGTTTAGGTGAGAGCTTCTACTTACTCCGTATTAGTTTTGGAGATTTTTATTTTCTTACTTTTTTATTTTATGCAATTCAATAATTTTATAATTGTGTATAAATCAATTTGTATTGCCGTGCAGTGTATGAGTAATAAGTGCCTTTATGAATTCGATTTTTTAGGTCTGGCAACTTTATAATTTTGTATTAATGATTTCTGAATTAGGTATCACTCTATTCCCTACAATTTATGTGTTATATTTATTTACTATGCTTAAAATATAAATTTGGGTTATGTAATTATTGTATTACTCTGTTGTATAATTTTTTAGGTTAAACATGTTAAAGTTCTTAATACATATTTGCGATTTTAGATAACCACATATGTTTATTTTCTATTATTTTACCAACTTACTAGTTTTGAGGTTTTCATATATAAGCCGTGTTTTGTGTATACTTATGGGCGTGTGCATGCCAATTTTACACGCTACACCTGCAATGTTGTACACTTTTTATAAATTATGATTTTTTTACAGATTGTCGGTATACACGAGCAAGAAGAGAACATATACAAAAATTATACGTAGTATGTAAATTGGTGTGTATAATAAGAATTTTTCTTAATATATTTCTCGCCTTCCCAGCACCCTCTTAAATAAAGTTCTAGTTCTGTCACTGCACGTGAGATTTACTTCCCAAAAAAATATGAGATGTGTTGAAAAATGTGTTAGTAAATTGCATTAAATGGTCATTTCAGGGCAATTTTTTGAGTGGGGTCCACTTCTGATTTGGGTCAGGTCAAAGGGTTTCGGATTGTCCTTGTTAAGGGCTACAATTCGATATATGGTACGCTCAAAACGGATAACAAGTGAATGAGAAATTGATTCTCGAAGTTTACTCGTTGGAATGGAGAAAATTAGGAAAGATGGGTTTCTAGTGTGGTTTTTCCCACACCGGAAAACCCAAGGGAATTTGAACCCTTTATAAAGGAAAACCCCCCTTAAGGAGTTAAGATACCTTAGGGTAAAGGCTCTCTCCACGCACGCAGGTGGGGGGGTGCGAATCAAATCCCGAAACCGGAGAACAAAAAGCCCGACTTGTGTGCGCGGGCGACCTGCGGACACGAATGTCGTTCAAAAAATCTATCTTCTAAAGATAAATGTTAATTTTTGTTCCTCCGACGAGTTTCTATTTTTGCTCCAAATGCAGCCCCTTTGGCTGGAGGCTGCTGCTCCAAGGCAGACCAGTTGGCAGGAGGCTACTGCTGGGACGTTACAGCATTAATGGCCAACGTTCTTTTGCATTAAACGACGGTTATTTGGACGAAGCAATCTTGACAAGCAATTACCTTTTAAATAAGGTTCCCCGGGAAAAAAAATATGATAAAACTCCGTCCGAGTTGTGGAAAGGCAGACGGTCTTCCTATCAATATTTGAAAGTGTGGGGTTTCTTGCTAAGGTGCTTGTACCAACACCTAAGAAAATAAAAATAGGTCCAAAAACGGTGGATTGTATTTTTATTGGGTATGCACAAAACAGTAGTGCTTATCGGTTTTTAGTGTACGATTCGAATAATCCGGATGTACATAAAAATACAATAATTGAGTCAAGGAATGCATCATTCTTTGAAGACGTATTTCCGTGCAAGTCCAACGAAGGACCTAGCACGTCAAAACGGGCGTTTGACGTAGCTATGGAAAATACTAACGAGGGATCCGGTGAAGAAGCCGAACCCCGACGTAACAAACTTGCTAGAGTTGAAAAATCCTTCGGACCGGATTTTCTCACATACTTGGTAGAATTCGATTCGAATATTCCAACTTGTATGGTAGAAAATGAACCGGATTTTCTAACATGTTTGGTAGAAAATGAGCCACGGACTTATACGGAAGCCGTAACGTCTACCGAAGGATCAATGTGGAAAGAAGCCATCAAAAGTGAGGTGGACTCTATCCTAAAAAATCACACGTGGGAATTGGTTGATCTCCCTCCAGGATGTAAACCTTTGGGATCCAAGTGGATATTTAAACGGAAAATGAAACCTGATGGTTCCATTGATAAGTATAAGGCCAGATTTGTAATCAAGGGATACAAGCAACGTGAGGGCCATGATTACTTTGACACGTATTCTCCTATGACGAGAATAAATTCCATTAGAATGATACTAGCAATTGCCGCTTTGCGGAATTTGGAAGTTCATCAAATGGATGTACTGTTGGGTTTCGGGCAGAAAAACGCAGCGGAATAAAAAAAATCTTACTACCCAAAAGTAAACAAACGGATCTGGGGTTCTTATTATAAACGAAATTACAAGAATTTAAGAGGGACTTACATAGCAATCTTAATCAAGGATGTCAGACAGTCCGAGAAAACGATCCCGAGCTCTACCGGTATCCACACGCACGTGACTGGATCGGCCGCAGGGAACGTGCTAGCGTTCTCTTGTTTCTTCCTCTCTACTCTAGGTTTAAGAAGTGAATTTTAACTCTTAAAATTCGTGGGTCTATATGGCCCTATTTATAAGAGGAGTAAAGAAGGGTTTTATGGCTAATAAAACCCTTAAAGAGGCCCTAGCCCAATACCATTCGAAAACCTATTTCGAATTGGGCTAATCAAGCTATTTTAATGTTATTAACAAACATTAATGATCCAAATCACTTAGGTGTGTGACCCTGTAGGTTTATATATTATTGGTAGTGGGCTAGAAATTAATTCGAGTCTCACAAATCATTAGCTGTCACGCCCCGGACCTTCCCGGACACGTCAACAACCCGCCGTACAGTACGAATAGTCAACCGCAGTCCAACTCATCCATACTATACTAGGCGTCTTGAATACCATTCACATTAGTACATCCATAAACAATCACAATGTAAATCATTTAATTAAGCAGCGGAAATATTAATACAGCATTCGAGCCACACGTGGCAAACACGGGCGTGCAAGCCCTAAATAATTATTCGGAAAATAGTATCCATGAGCATTAATTTGAATGTTTAAAACAGAAACAGAGGAAGCACGAACCACGTCTCCTCTCCTTGATAATCCGCCCGAAGCAACGGTGATGGTAGCAACCTTCAAGTTCTACCTGAAACTGTGAGGTGGCCTCCCCCGTGAAGGGGAGGTCAGTACTTGGAAGCATTTGACAAGTACAATGACAACTATACTAAGTATAATCAAAGTTTCAATTTCCAAGACCCTCAATCTAGGATGTTATTATATTATAGGTCATAACCCGTGGTTACCCTCTTTTGAAAGTATACTTACTTTATATATAAAGTCAAGTAGTCGCCCGAAGGCCCATGTTTACTTTGAAAGCATTTAACCCTTTCCCCGTGACTTCAAGCCACACCCATCTATATTAGTTTACCATGCTAGAGGCTTCCTCTAGTCATGTTTTTTCGTGCTAGAGGCTGACTCTAGTCACTCCACTTGGTGTTAGAGGCTTCCTCTAATCACCTTACATACGTTGTGCTGGAGGCTTCCTCCAGTCACATTACGTTACGCTAGAGGCTTCCTCTAGTCGTCCTGTAACACCCACCCGATACAACCCGGGTGATTCTCCTAGTTCATCCCATCTCGAATCGGTTGAGTGTTAGCGAGCTTTGAAACAGAGCATAACTAATTAGTTATATAAGTAAATATGCATTTAACTCTTTAGTAAAAAAAAAAATAAGTCATTTACTTTTAAATTCAGAAGTAAAATATAAGTCTTGCAACGGAATATTCAAGTCAAACACTTGAGAGACCTTACTCTCCACGCACAGCAAATTGAACTATGTAAATTGTGTCACCAATTTATTTGAAAAAGAAAGAAAAGAATCATGAAATGAAATGTGTGAGGATGCAGCAAGATGCCCCCTTATTCTCTTGATCCTTCGCCCAAAATCACCATGGCCGCTCTCAACCTACGCGTAGCAAGAAAACAAACAAGCTACACGCTCAGCAAAAGCTAAGTGGCACGTAAATCATTTATACTTTAAAAATATTATTCCGTGTTAATCATGCATAATGATTGTATATATATTCACAGATTTGCACCTATATATATATATATCTCATCAACCATGGTGAGGCATATACAAGATACTCGTTTTTTTTTTCATGATAAAATTCATGGAAATTAGAGATTTCATATTTCACATATGAGTGCAACAAGACGGAGCATATCCAAAGAGGACTAATAATAAGTCTTAATTTAGGGTTCATTTCTTTTAAATACTAATAAGCCAAACTCGCGAGAACGGACCAAGACTCGAAACACGGGATAAGGAAACATAATCGCCGGGGCTACATGCACCTATCCCAAAACAGAGGTCGACCATGGTCTAAAAAGCATACTAGCACGTCAGGAGGGAATCGAAATCGCCGGAGCTAAAAGAAAATTTTCAGGAGTACTAATGTCCAAACACCTCATACCAAAACAAAATTTCCAGGAGTACTAATGCCGAAGCACTTTGTACTAAAAATAAAATTTCAGGAGTATTAGTGTTGGAGCATTGCGTACTAAACAGAACGGGGTGTCTCGATTAATGTAGCACTTAGCACTACGCCGGAGTCTAGGTGACACAAAAACAAATTCTGGCACCCAGGTCCAAACATAGTCTCTAGAGGTGGCTCCCAAAATCTAAGTACCAAACTCAGAGCAGGCTTTTCCAGAAATCATTAATAGTATTTATTTATTTCAAAAACTTATTTGAAGCATAGTATATTTTATAGTAAAGAAAAATTTAGGACATATCGTGCAACTATCCATACTGTTACTACTTTAAGTCACGTAGTTTTATATGAGCAATTTACAGGGATTTAATAAGGATTTTTAGCATCACATAACACCTAAACAAAAGCATACTCCTGATGGGAGATTTCAGCTTCATATATATACAGTTCTATAGCAATACTTCATGAAAAATAGAACCTGCTAAGCCAAGTATTAGAACCTGCTAATATGTATTCCAGCCCTAACTTGTCAAGAATTCTAAACGACAATAATCAATTTGCAACAGTGTGTTCCAGGGAGTTTTGAGAATAGATTTTCATATACCCTATCATGATGAAATTACTTTTAATACGGCATAGAACACTTCAGATGCAATCGAGCAGATCATGTAAAAAAAATGACCCAATTTTGTAGTTAAAATCATATATTTTTACATCAACCATTTGACCTGGATCCAAATAGGATTTTCGAACCATAACATTACATGGATAAACATATACGTAGTATTATAAGGGAAGATTGGAGAACAAACACATACACATACATAACATACACACAAAAATTTGACCGAATATATGAAATAGTGCAGATACTAAAACATAATTTACTACCCCATTCCTAGGAGTATTTGTCAATAGCATTCATATATCAGCATAATAATTAAATTTGGAAACATACTACATACCACTATGAATGAAATAGACCTATCAAGCACAAAAGCCATCCCTTTACTGATAACTCAAAACATATAGTTTTACTTTGATAACAAATCATGGATTTTTTAATGGTGTTTTGTCATCAAATAATACATAGATAACAACGTATTTGCAGAGATCTTCAAGAATCAAATTCGTGGATTATTAGACAAGGAAATAAAAAAAAACGATAACACATAATAACAAGACACATTAGCCACGATATGCAATAATGGACATCAAAACTCAATCATTTAAAACGAAAAGAATCAGGGGTCAATTAGGGTTCTAACCAAGAATTTAAGAGCATAAATTAGCATATAATATTCACCTACGAAATGGAAATTTAGAGGAAACTACACACAACAAATCAGTGAGGCATAACAGAATACGAATATATGAAATCGTGCGGACCTGGATCGTCTAGCGGCAATAGAAGAATTCCAAGCCCTCTAACCAAAATTCATTCACTTCAAACCCTTCTCTACTGACCCTCAAGTGTTCCTAATTCGTGGAAAAAAAATAGTTTGAAGAGGATGAACTAGGAATGTATGCTGATGGCCTATCTTAAATAAAATGAGTTAGGGTATGTGAAGAGGTGGAGAGAATTTACTTTCTTCATTATAGGGTGATGGATTTCGAGTTTAATAAGGGGAAATGGAAGGTTTGATAAGCTCTAAAGTTATCTTGAAGGTCTTGTATTGTTTTGTTTTTAAGAGAAATCAAAAAGAGTTTCCACAAAAAGATTTGAACTCATGACCTCTCACTTGAGTATTTCCTTAATTCTACCGTTTTCTTTTTACTAATGAACCAATAATATCTCATGTAAATTTAGTGGTTACATAAGTATATAACCTTATAATAACTAATAAATTAACTTGGTATTAAACTCGAAATATTCTCAAACCGATCCCGGTTTCAGCTAGACCGGTTTTCAGGGTCTTACAATTCTCTCCCACTTAAGAAAATTTCGTCTCGAAATTTATACCTGAGTCGTTGTCATTAAACAAGTAGGGGTATTGGATCCTCATAACTTCTTCAGTTTCCCAAGTTGCATCCTCTGAGGTATGATTACTCCAGAGCACCTTTACTAGAGCTACTGTCTTGTTCCTCAACACTTTCACATCCCGATCCAAGATGCGAACTGGCTCTTCTACATAAGTCAACTTTGAGTCTAGTTCAACTGAACCAGGCACCAGGACGTGGGTAGGATCAGATCGATATCTTCGGAGCATGGAAACATGAAAAACATCATGAATTTTACTAAGCTCAGATGGAAGTGCTAAGCGATAAGCAACAGGACCCACTCGCTCCGTAATTTCATAGGGTCCGATAAACCTTGGGCTTAACTTACCCTTCTTCCCAAAACGTAGAATTTTCTTCCATGGGGAAACTTTCAAGAAGACTTTATCCCCCACGGAAAATTCTATATCCTTACGCTTGAGATCGGCATATGACTTTTGTCGATCGAATGCTGTCTTTAACCGTTCTTGAATTATTTTTACCTTCTCTTCAGTCTCACGCACCAAATCTGGACCCAAAACCTTACTCTCACTTAATTCAGTCCAACAGACGGGAGTTCTGCATCGCCTTCCGTACAATGCCTCATATGGTGCCATTTGTATACTAGCTTGGTAGCTATTGTTGTATGCAAACTCCATAAGTGGTATGTACTTCTCCCAACTTCCCTCGAGATCAATAACACACCCTCTCATCATATCCTCCAGAACTTGGATAACTCGCTCAGACTGCCCGTCAGTTTGAGGGTGGAAAGCGGTACTGAAATTCAATTTTGAACCGAGAGCTGTTTGTAAACTCTTCCAAAATTTTGATGTGAACCGAGGATCCCGATCAGATATTATTGACGTAGGAACCCCATGCAAACGTACAATTTCTCGTATGTACATCTCAGCTAACTTGGTCAAGGAGAAATCTCTTCGAATTGGCAAAAAGTGTGCTGACTTGGTTAATCGATCTACAATTACCCAAACTGCGTCATTCTTTCTCGGTGACAACGGTAACCCGACAACAAAATCCATGGTGATCCGATCCCATTTCCATTCCGGAATTGTAATGGACTGTAACAACCCAGAAGGAACTTGGTGTTCAGCTTTAACTTGTTGGCAAGTTAAACACTTGGAGGTATACTCCGTAATATCCTTCTTCATACCGTTCCACCAATATTGACTCTTGAGACCTCTATACATCTTGAGGCTACCGGGATGCATTGAGAACTTCGATTCATGAGCTTCCTTTAGAATCCGACAACGAACCTCTCCCTCCGGAACCACTAACCTTCCTCGAAAACACAATCCCCCATCTATCATAGAAAAATCTGGTTTCTCCCCTTTGGAAATGTAATCACACATTTCACCACACCAACCATCAGATTTCTGGGCTACAATAACCTCTTCCCGAATAGTGGGTTTAATACGTAGTTCAGCCAAGGACTTTCGACTCAAGGCATCCGCCACCACGTTAGCTTTCCCCGGGTGATAATCAATAAAGCAATCGTAGTCTTTAATTAACTCTAACCAACGTCGTTGCCTTAGATTCAACTCTTTCTGGGATGGCAAATACTTCAAACTTTTATGGTCTGTAAAGATGTAGGTCTTCTCCCCATAAAGGTAGTGACGCCAAATTTTTAAAGCAAAAACTATGGCAGCCAACTCTAAATCATGAGTAGGGTAGTTCTTCTCATGATCTTTTAGTTGCCTTGAAGCGTAGGCTACTACTTTACCATCTTGCATCAATACACACCCCAACCCATTGTGTGAAGCGTCACTATAGACAATGTAATCCACCCCAGGCTTGGGTTGTATTAGCACTGGGGCTTTAGTCAAGATATCTTTAAGCCGATCAAAACTCTCTTGACACGCTGGAGTCCACTCAAAGCGAATATTCTTTCTTAACAATTTGTGAAGAGGTAAAGCAATGGTAGAGAATCCCTTAACAAAGCGACGATAGTAACCAGCTAATCCCAAAAAACTTCTTACCTCTGTGACATTACGAGGCGTCTTCCAATTTATTACTGCTTGAACTTTTGTTGGGTCCACCTTTACACCTTCTGCTGAGATGACGTGTCCAAGAAAAGTGACTTCTTTAAGCCAAAACTCACATTTTGACAGCTTAGCATAAAGTTTATGCTTGCGAAGTATTTGTAGTACGATTTTTAAATGTTCCTTATGCTCCTCTTCTGACTTTGAGTATACTAGGATATCATCAATGAAAACCACAACAAATTGATCCAAATAGGGTCTAAAGACGCGATTCATCAGATCCATAAATGCAGCCGGGGCATTAGTTAAGCCGAAGGGCATAACCAAAAACTCATAATGACCATATCTAGTTCGGAAAGCTGTCTTAGGTACATCATCCTTCTTAATCGGTAATTGATGATAACCAGAACGCAGGTCAATTTTGGAAAACACACTAGCATCCTTCAACTGATCAAACAAATCATCTATCCGGGGCAAGGGGTAACGATTTTTAATAGTCATTTTGTTTAACTGTCGATAATCCACGCAAAGCCTCATTGACCCATCTTTCTTCTTAACAAACAATACTGGTGCTCCCCAAGGTGATGTACTTGGTTGGATAAAACCCTTATCAAGAAGATCTTGTAATTGAGCCTTAAGCTCTTTCAGCTCTGCAGGGGCCATCCGATAAGGAGTGGCAGAAATAGGGGCAGCTCCAGGAATCAAATCAATAGAAAATTCCACCTCACGAGGTGGTGGAAGACCGGGCAAATCCTCAGGAAATACATCAGAAAATTCACTAACCGTTGGAATATCCAATAAATTAGGTGCTTCCTTTCTAGTATCTTTCACATGAGCCAAATAAGCGTCACACTTCCTTCGGATCAACCGTTTTGTCTGCATCATGGAAATAAATTGTGGCGGCTTTGAAAACAGCTCCCCCGGAATAATAATGGTTTCACCTGAACCACTCCTCAATCGAACGGTCTTCTTCTGGCAGTCCACCACAGCATTATGCTTGGAAAGCCAATCCATACCAAGAATCATGTCAAACTCTCGGTGCGGAAGGATAATCAGATCGGCATTAAATTGTTTACCTTGAACAGTTAGCGGGCAACCTCGAATAACTTGGTCAACTTCAAGGCTATGACCAAGTGGAGTAAAAACCTCCATTTTGTACTGTAATTGTTCTATCGGCAAGCCCGATAAACGTGATGGAGAAAAGCATATGTACGAATGTGTAGAACCAGGATCTATCAAAGCACAAATATCAATATCAAGAAGAGTGAACATACCCTGGATAACATCATGGTCAGGTTGCTCCTCCCTTCCGTGCATGGCATAGACTCGAGCGGAGGCTTGACTTGGACCGGGTCGATTAACTGTCTCTGAGTTTCCTCCCGTATTGTTGCCCTTTCTGTTTGGCTGGCCTCGCGAACCCGGTGTGGTCGACGTTGCTGCCTTAACTCCTTCCTGATTCAGATTTGGGCAATCTCGTAACATGTGGCCTTGTTGTCCGCATCGGAAACATGCACCTGTAGCTCGACGACACTCTCCAGTATGGTTCTTTTCACAAAACTTGCATAGCGGCCTAGCCCCAACTGAGGATGCCTGTGGACGGGGCTGGTTACTTGCGACGATAGATTGATTCTGGGAGTTACATCCCTTCTTTGACCAATTGCTCTTCTCAGATCCTCCATGTTGTCTCTTGTGCGAAGATTGACCAGAGGGTGCATCAGTAGATGAATTCCCTCGGCCTCCAATGTGACGGTGCCAACCTTCCAATCTCTGAGCGGAATCCACCAAACTCGTGAAACTCATATGCCTCATAGCTATGATTTGGCCAGCAACCTCTGAATTGAGCCCGTACTCATACTTGCGACATTTGTCCTCTTCTGTGCGCACCATGTCTCGAGCATACTTACTAAGTCGTAAAAACTCATAAGCATACTCACTCACAGACATGGATCCTTGTTTTACATCCATGAAAGCTCGTTTACGCTCCTCTTGATACCAGGCCGGAACGAACTGGTCTAAAAAGCGAGCTTCAAAAAATGCCCAAGTCATAGGGTGGGGTACATCAGGGCGTAGCAGTACGGATTTCCACCAATCGTAAGCACCGTGCTGTAGCAAGCTGATGGCTAAACGGGGACGGTCAGCTTGTGGGACTTGCAAATCCTCAAGCACACGAGTGGTTTGTTCGAGCCAAAATTCTGCGACGTCAGGAGTGTCATCTATTTTTCCTAGAAAAATAGAGGCCCCATTCTTTTTCAGCTTTTCAAGGGTGAACACACGAGGTCCAACATCCTGGTTTGGCGTAACATTTTGAATGAGTTGCTGAAACAACCCGGCCAACTCAGCTAGGAACGGATTGGGTTGGAAGTGATCACCTGCATTTTCATTGTGACCGCTGGCATTACTGCCAACATGATAGCTTGCAGAATGCTCAGAGGGATCTTCAGAAGACATCGGAAACCTACGGATCAAAGTGTTCAATTTAATCTAAAGTTCAAAAACTTACCAAGCTAGACCATGGCGGGACAAAGAGACGGGCATCCAAATGCAGCTCACTTCGAAAACAATTTAAATTTCTTTTCTTTCAAAAGACACAATATATATGTATATATATATACAAAATAAGAACCTGGCTTTGATACCAAAATGTAACACCCACCCGATACAACCCGGGTGATTCTCCTAGTTCATCCCATCTCGAATCGGTTGAGTGTTAGCGAGCTTTGAAACAGAGCATAACTAATTAGTTATATAAGTAAATATGCATTTAACTCTTTAGTAAAAAAAAAAATAAGTCATTTACTTTTAAATTCAGAAGTAAAATATAAGTCTTGCAACGGAATATTCAAGTCAAACACTTGAGAGACCTTACTCTCCACGCACAGCAAATTGAACTATGTAAATTGTGTCACCAATTTATTTGAAAAAGAAAGAAAAGAATCATGAAATGAAATGTGTGAGGATGCAGCAAGATGCCCCCTTATTCTCTTGATCCTTCGCCCAAAATCACCATGGCCGCTCTCAACCTACGCGTAGCAAGAAAACAAACAAGCTACACGCTCAGCAAAAGCTAAGTGGCACGTAAATCATTTATACTTTAAAAATATTATTCCGTGTTAATCATGCATAATGATTGTATATATATTCACAGATTTGCACCTATATATATATATATCTCATCAACCATGGTGAGGCATATACAAGATACTCGTTTTTTTTTTCATGATAAAATTCATGGAAATTAGAGATTTCATATTTCACATATGAGTGCAACAAGACGGAGCATATCCAAAGAGGACTAATAACAAGTCTTAATTTAGGGTTCATTTCTTTTAAATACTAATAAGCCAAACTCGCGAGAACGGACCAAGACTCGAAACACGGGATAAGGAAACATAATCGCCGGGGCTACATGCACCTATCCCAAAACAGAGGTCGACCATGGTCTAAAAAGCATACTAGCACGTCAGGAGGGAATCGAAATCGCCGGAGCTAAAAGAAAATTTTCAGGAGTACTAATGTCCAAACACCTCATACCAAAACAAAATTTCCAGGAGTACTAATGCCGAAGCACTTTGTACTAAAAATAAAATTTCAGGAGTATTAGTGTTGGAGCATTGCGTACTAAACAGAACGGGGTGTCTCGATTAATGTAGCACTTAGCACTACGCCGGAGTCTAGGTGACACAAAAACAAATTCTGGCACCCAGGTCCAAACATAGTCTCTAGAGGTGGCTCCCAAAATCTAAGTACCAAACTCAGAGCAGGCTTTTCCAGAAATCATTAATAGTATTTATTTATTTCAAAAACTTATTTGAAGCATAGTATATTTTATAGTAAAGAAAAATTTAGGACATATCGTGCAACTATCCATACTGTTACTACTTTAAGTCACGTAGTTTTATATGAGCAATTTACAGGGATTTAATAAGGATTTTTAGCATCACATAACACCTAAACAAAAGCATACTCCTGATGGGAGATTTCAGCTTCATATATATACAGTTCTATAGCAATACTTCATGAAAAATAGAACCTGCTAAGCCAAGTATTAGAACCTGCTAATATGTATTCCAGCCCTAACTTGTCAAGAATTCTAAACGACAATAATCAATTTGCAACAGTGTGTTCCAGGGAGTTTTGAGAATAGATTTTCATATACCCTATCATGATGAAATTACTTTTAATACGGCATAGAACACTTCAGATGCAATCGAGCAGATCATGTAAAAAAAATGACCCAATTTTGTAGTTAAAATCATATATTTTTACATCAACCATTTGACCTGGATCCAAATAGGATTTTCGAACCATAACATTACATGGATAAACATATACGTAGTATTATAAGGGAAGATTGGAGAACAAACACATACACATACATAACATACACACAAAAATTTGACCGAATATATGAAATAGTGCAGATACTAAAACATAATTTACTACCCCATTCCTAGGAGTATTTGTCAATAGCATTCATATATCAGCATAATAATTAAATTTGGAAACATACTACATACCACTATGAATGAAATAGACCTATCAAGCACAAAAGCCATCCCTTTACTGATAACTCAAAACATATAGTTTTACTTTGATAACAAATCATGGATTTTTTAATGGTGTTTTGTCATCAAATAATACATAGATAACAACGTATTTGCAGAGATCTTCAAGAATCAAATTCGTTGATTATTAGACAAGGAAATAAAAAAAAACGATAACACATAATAACAAGACACATTAGTCACGATATGCAATAATGGACATCAAAACTCAATCATTTAAAACGAAAAGAATCAGGGGTCAATTAGGGTTCTAACCAAGAATTTAAGAGCATAAATTAGCATATAATATTCACCTACGAAATGGAAATTTAGAGGAAACTACACACAACAAATCAGTGAGGCATAACAGAATACGAATATATGAAATCGTGCGGACCTGGATCGTCTAGCGGCAATAGAAGAATTCCAAGCCCTCTAACCAAAATTCCTTCACTTCAAACCCTTCTCTACTGACCCTCAAATGTTCCTAATTCGTGGAAAAAAAATAGTTTGAAGAGGATGAACTAGGAATGTATGCTGATGGCCTATCTTAAATAAAATGAGTTAGGGTATGTGAAGAGGTGGAGAGAATTTACTTTCTTCATTATAGGGTGATGGATTTCGAGTTTAATAAGGGGAAATGGAAGGTTTGATAAGCTCTAAAGTTATCTTGAAGGTCTTGTATTGTTTTGTTTTTAAGAGAAATCAAAAAGAGTTTCCACAAAAAGATTTGAACTCATGACCTCTCACTTGAGTATTTCCTTAATTCTACCGTTTTCTTTTTACTAATGAACCAATAATATCTCATGTAAATTTAGTGGTTACATAAGTATATAACCTTATAATAACTAATAAATTAACTTGGTATTAAACTCGAAATATTCTCAAACCGATCCCGGTTTCAGCTAGACCGGTTTTCAGGGTCTTACACGTCCTACACGAATGCTGGAGGCTTCCTCCAGTCATTCTTCATCGTGCTCGAGGCTTCCTCTAGTCACGATACTAATTCACTAAGCAAACTCTATGCCTAGAGTTCCTCTACTATGAGTAACCTTTAAGGTCCACTCCTACGGTAATTTAGCGTTTACTCATTTCTACCTTAAGACATTTCGGATGACTACTTAATTAAGGTACATCTTTCACAATCCAAACCCCTAGGATTTGTTCTATCACTTTTCATGCTAACATTCCCGGCTAGTATTTCTATACTAGTCATTTAACCTTAATAAGTCAATGCAATTTCATAGTAATTTGGCTATTTCAATTTAATTCCACGTTCAAGTATAACTTGGTTCTAATATCAAAATATCACTTTTATCCTTCCATGACTTCCTTACATGAGGTAAAAGTATATTAATCACAATTCATTTATAGTTACACACTATTATACCATTGTATTCATAATACATAATCATACACAATTTATTCATAAATTTGTATATTATGCACTTTTACTTATAAACAATAATAATCTCATTTAGGCATTTTTTTTTATACTATAAATAAATCATGCCAAACACATGTAATTCATTTAGGTAATCTTATGAAATTAACCCAATAATTATAAGCAATATAGTCGGTCATCCTCACCTTAAGTGAGCTTAAGCGTGTTCTACGCTCCGCGGTTGAACTTTGACTATTTCCGGTGAACTTTGACCAACTCCGGCCAACTTTGACCAACTCCGGCAAAACTCCGGCGAAGCTCCAAAGTACTTTAATCAAGTTCCTAACAAGTTTTTAACATCATAAAACCTTAATCAATACAAATAACCTCTAAAAGGTTATTTTCCGGTGAACTTGTCGGTTTGGCTCCTAGGTCCGTTTTTGGACTTAGAACCCCCTTCCAACCCATCATTCTACACTTAACTCATGTGGAACAATCCTCAATGTTCTTCACATGATATATATCTCATATTGTAGAAGAAAAATAAAGGAAAAGTTAATATAAGGTTATTACCTTAATCTTTCTCACTTTTCCTAGCTTTTTTTCTTCTTTTAAACTTTCCCCTTGGACTTCTATTGCTTGAGCTCTCTTCAAGGATGGGAAAAGGGAGATGGAGATTTTCTTTTCTTGCTGGGGTTGGTGCTGGCCGAGAGGAATGAGGGAGAGAGGGGTGAGGGGATGGTCTTTTGTCTCAAAGGTCAAATGGGGTGGATGTGGTCCCCTTTTTTTTTGTTTGATGCTTCTTCTTTCACTTCACACACATCACCCATGCCTCTTCCACCATCCAGCCGGCCAAGTCATGAAAAAATGTGGCTAATTTCGTGGGTTGGCCCCCACCCATGTGGGAGGTCAACCCCTTTTGTCCAGAAGTGTACACTTTGTCCCGAAAGTTGTATTTTTCGGACCATTTAAAATATATTTTATTTTATCGGGTCAAATAAAATATATTATGTGCTCTCCATCATTAAGACTCTTATGATGAATATTCATACCCCAACTTTAATTTATAAGTCCCCGAAATTCAATTTCGGGCTTTTATCGGTTAAATTGTCAATACCGGTATTTAGGCCTCTTTGACCAATCGGTCAACTCCGGACCTTTCCATGGCTCAAATGAGTTATCCTCCACCATATAAATATTATCTAGACCGAGATGGATAGTTTATGTAGTCCCGGGAATATTGGGCGGGCCCCACGTGCGAATTTACTATTCACGCAAAATAATTAATAAAAATCCATAACATTGTAAACTCATTAACCATTCCACAAGGTTACATACAATATTATTCACTTAAAAGTAAATACATTTGGGGACGGTGTTACAAGTTCACCCCCCCTTATTTGGGATTTCGTCCCCGAAATCCATGTGTCTAATCGAAAAGAAACGGGTATTGCTCCCTCATTGAGACCTCGGTCTCCCAGGTTTCTTCTTCGACTCGATCACTCCTCCAAAGAACCTTTACCATAGGAATCTCTTTGTTCCTCAATTTCTTCACCTGTTGACCCACAACCTTTACCGGTTCCACTGCATATTGTAGATCTTCACGTATCTCCACCGGTGGCTTCTCAAGAATATGAGATGGATCTCTCACGTATTTCTTGAGCATCGATACATGAAACACGTCGTGTATCTTCTCAAGTTCCGGCGTCAGCTTGAGACGGTAAGCCACCGCCCCAATCCTTTCAAGGATTTCAAACGGACCAATGTATCGGGGGTTGAGTTTTCCCCTCGATAAAAATCGGATGATACCCTTCCAAGGAGAAACTCTTAGGAAGACCTTATCACCGACCTCGAACTCCAATGGCCTGCGTCGTTTGTCGGCATAGCTCTTCTGCCGATCTTGGGCAGTCTTGAGTCTATCCTGAATGACTTTCACTTTAGTCTTGGTGATTTCAACAAGTTCAATCCCCTCGAGCTTGGCCTCGCCAACCTCGTCCCAACATAACGGTGTCCTGCACTTCCTCCCATACAATGCCTCGTATGGAGGCATGCCAATGCTCGCCTGATAACTATTGTTATAGGCGAACTCGACTAGAGCCAAATGTTTGTCCCAACTTCCTTGGAACTCCAGAGCACACGCCCTAAGCATGTCCTCCAATATCTGTATCACTCGCTCGGATTGTCCATCCGTCTGTGGATGAAAAGCCGTGCTAAACTTCAATTTGGTACCCAAAGATGCTTGAAACTTGGGCCAAAATCGAGATGTGAATCGTGGATCCCTATCCGAGACAATGGATATCGGGACTCCATGTAGTCTCACAATCTCCTCCGTGTATAGCTTCGCCAACCTTTCAAGAGGGTAAGTGATGTTAATAGGCAAAAAGTGTGCACTCTTGGTGAGCCTATCAACTACTACCCATACCGCATCATAGTTGTTCACGGTCCGTGGCAACCCCACCACGAAATCCATAGTCACATGCTCCCACTTCCATTCTGGAATGGAAAGTGGCTGTAATAACCCAGCTGGATGCTGATGCTCTGCCTTGACTTGCTGACAAGTAAGGCACCGACTGATGTACTCGGCTATCTCTCTCTTCATACCGGACCACCAGTAACTTTCTTTCAAATCGCGATACATTTTCGTGCCCCCCGGGTGCATGGCATAAGCCGATGAATAAGCTTCCTCTAAGATGGACTTTCGGAGCTCATCATCTGCCGGCACACACACTCGGTCACAAAATAATAAAAGACCGTCGTCTCTTTCTCTGAAGTCCTCCACCGGTCCCGCTTGCAAGCGTTCCCTGATCTTCACAATTTCATCGTCAGTTTCCTGACCCTTCTTGATCTCATCAAGCAAAGTAGGTCTCACCTCAAACCGTGCCAATAAGGCACCATTACTGGGCACCTCCAGTTGGGCTCTTAATGCCCTCAAATTAGCTATCAATGCCCCAGTTGAGCTCTTCCGGCTCAAAGCATCTGCCACTACATTTGCCTTGCCTGGATGGTACTCAATCACTAGGTGGTAGTCCTTTATCAACTCCATCCACCGTCTCTGCCTCATGTTTAACTCTTTCTGAGTAAACACGTACTTCAAGCTCTTATGGTCAGTGTATATGTGACATGTCTCTCCATAGAGATAATGTCTCCAAATCTTCAGTGCGAACACCACTGCTCCCAACTCTAGATCATGGGTGGGGTAATTTACCTCATGCTTCTTCAACTGTCGTGAAGCATAGGCAATTACCCTCCCCTCCTGCATTAACACACATCCAAGCCCTTGGATGCTTGCGTCACTATAGACATCGTACCCCATACCCTGTTTGGGTAATGCAAGTACCGGTGCCTCGGTTAATCTCTTCTTCAGTTCAGTGAATCCTTTCTCACACTTGTCATCCCATACAAACTTAGCTCCTTTTCGAGTGAGCTTTGTCAACGGTGATGCCAAAACAGAGAACTTTTCCACGAACTTTCTATAGTATCCTGCCAATCCAAGGAAACTACGAATTTCCTTGACGTTCTTTGGCCTCTCCCATTCGGTGATGGCTTCTATCTTCTTGTCGTCGACAGCAATTCCCGATCCCGAAACCACGTGCCCGAGAAAGCCAATCTCCTTAAGCCAAAATTCACATTTAGAAAATTTGGCATAGAGTTGCTTCTCCCGTAGTGTCTCAAGAACGAGTATCAAGTGCTCCTCATGCTCTTCCTCACTCTTTGAGTAGATCAAGATGTCATCAATGAACACAATCACAAATCGGTCCAAGTATTTGTGAAATACTCGGTTCATCAAGTCCATGAATGCCGCCGGGGCGTTTGTTAACCCAAACGAGATAACAAGGAACTCAAAATGCACATACCTCGTGCGGAAAGCACTCTTCGGTATGTCATCCTCCTTAATCTTCAATTGATGGTACCCCGACCTCAAGTCAATCTTTGAAAACACGGTTGCTCCTCGTAGTTGATCAAACAAGTCATCAATCCTAGGCAAGGGATACCTATTCTTGATTGTGACCTTGTTCAGTTGACGATAGTCAATGCACATTCGAAGTGTTCCATCCTTCTTTTTCACAAAAAGGACCGGTGCTCCCCATGGGGAGTGGCTTGGTCTGATGAAACCGTTATCCAAAAGCTCTTGCAATTGGGTTTTTAACTCGTTAAGTTCAGCGGGTGCCATACGGTATGGCGGTATGGAGATTGGTTTGGTGCCGGGCTCGACCTCGATCACGAACTCAATCTCCCTATCGGGTGGAAGTCCCGGTAAGTCTTTAGGAAAGACGTCCGGATACTTGCATACTACCCTAACTTCATCAATGCTCGTCTCTTCTTTGGTTTTGTCCACCACATATGCTAGATATGCATGACCCCCCTTCCTCATCATATTCTTAGCCCTCACAGCGGATATGATACAACTATTGGATTTTGCCCTATCCCCCTCGAAGCGTAAGGTTACCCCTTCATTGCCTTCGAGTTCAAGTACTTTCGTGTAACAATCGACCCTAGCATGATGCTTCTCAAGCCAATCCATACCCAGGATTGCATCGAACTCAATCATACTCAGCGGCACGAAATCACACGACAAGTTTTGGCCCTCCACTTCCACCTCACACGATGGATAGTGGCTATCTCTCTCGATGTCTTCCCCTAGGGGTGTGGATACCAATAGGGCTTGAGCCATCGGTATCAGGGGTACGTTGAATCCCCCGGCGAATGCCTCACTCACAAATGATCGTTGCGCCCCAGTATCGATGAGGATTCTCGCACATCTCCCATTAATCTTTAATGTTCCTACATTTATACACCATGTGAGATACATTTTCTAATGTTTTTACACATCTTAGGAGGTTATTAAGTAAATACTAAGGTTTGGAATCAATCGGGGGTCCAAACGTAAAAGAACGGAGCGAAAAAATTCGATTTTCGGGTTCTGGGGCCCACGCACGGCGTGCCTGGGTGGCACGCACGACCGTGCGTGCAACGAACTTACCCCGCGTGCCACTGCCGGCCAGGCACGATGCCAGGCACAGCGTGCCTACGGACGTGCCTGGCCAGAAATACTTCGGACGCCACTGCCTTCCAGGCACGACGCCAGGCACGGCGTGCCTGCGGCCGTGCCTGGCCCAAAAAAATTTTTTTTTTCTTTTCTTCGGGTGCCACTGCCTTCCAGGCACGATGCCAGGCACGGCGTGCCTGCGGGCGTGCCTGGCCAGCAGTGGCTGTTTCCAGCCCGATTCGGCCTAACTCACCCGGTTTGACCCCGGGGTGGCTCGTACTCAATCCCAACGACAAATATGATCAAAGTAAGCCTAGAAATGACCAGAATAAGTGTATTACCTGCGACGGAGTCGGGATTAGCCCGAGCATCGGCCTCGGTCATTGCGTACACTCTTGCTTGAGCCCTTCCTTGGTTCACGGATGGTGCGTTGCTTGTACTTGCCCCGCCGTGGTTCGTGCTTGCATTGGGTGCCCCACCCCGGTTTCTACTCACCATGGTTGCACTGCTTGGCCCTGATGACCGGTTCCCACCAAGTTGAGGGCAATTGGGCTTTATGTGCCCCGTATCTCCGCATTGGTAGCACCGTGGGGGATCACGACATTTGCCCTCGTGATTTCTCTTGCAATTCCTGCACTTAGGCTTCGTCGGGGCTTGTGATCCCGAGTTCTGCCCACTCATGTTGGGATTCCCCCTTGATGGTGGTGCGGGTGCCCTGAAGGATCCTCCTCCCCCGTGATTCCCCTTCTTGTTTGAACCCTG